ATTTTAAAGAATCTGCCTCACACTAAAATAAGTGTGTTTTGCTATTATTAAATGGGATATGTGTAAGTAAACATTAGGCATGCTAACATTTCAGTAATGTAGGACAAGAAATTCCATCACAATTAATGTGTTAACAGGGGCTCGATGTTTCCCAGTGGAATCAATCATCTGCATTGGTCACTGCATTGGCAAGGTATTGTGGGTAGTACAGGAAAGAGGGTCAGGGGTAGTTTAACATGGAATAACCTTCATAAACCCTGTCTGTGGTCAAGGATTTTACTTATATTGTATTTCTATAAAGTGAAACACTAGAGACTGGTGCACATGGCATTCAAGATGGTGTGAAATTATTAAATTTAACTAAACAGGAATTCTGGAGACTAAAAAGAATAGAGTCAGAAATTTAAAAGGAAATAATAATTAACATGTCAATAATAGTAAATGCCAAGCTAACAAGTTCTAAGTTTGAGCTCACATTAGAGTACATGAAGTCTTTCAAGAATTGAGATGTACACTAACATTCATCACAGTAACCACAATCTGCTCTTCTCCAAAGTAAGCAAGTGAACATTAATGCGACCTAAAATAACTACGGTCTCTTTAGTCAATGAAATTCAGCTTTGTGTAACAACTTGTGGGTCAGTACACGTGGCCGTAACCAGCTATGAGGTCACAGAGTTCCCGGACCTCCGTATTTAGGCTGTAGGCTTTCAGCTTGAAAAAGTGTTTCCCCATCAGTGTCCATACTCTGGGAATGGAAACGATGCGTGCGCCGCGCAATAACTGAAAGCATCGTTGTTTGCAGGCCCAGAATTTTGTGCTACGCCGCTGGTCAAATTATTAAAGCTGTAAAATAAACTAGAGAGCATCCTCTGCATTCAGCACTAACCTGCTGTATTTTATGTTGTCACATAGTAATAATAGTGCCCATTATTAAATGATAAATTTTATTATCAACAGTTTCAGGAAGCAGTTTGGTTTGGCCCTTATCTCTGTGTGACAGGATGCTGCGTCTCTAGCAATATCTCACCCATCTGAGCTGACTGGTTGCTGCTGTGATGGTCCAGAGACTATGCTTTGAAGCAGGTTCACAATGTTTCAAGTCCGTCTTAAAACAATAGTCAGGTACAATATGTACTTTAAAACAGCCTGCTGGAATCTTTCCTCCTGTTCTTTCTTTTATTAACAAATCCCTTCCTAATGTTCTTGCAGTAATAGACTAGTGATCCCCAGCTTACATTTGATGTGTAGCTTAATAGCTCTGTGCCATTATTCTTTAGAATTTAACTCCCCTTGTTGTTTTTACTCCCCTCCAGGACCCTGTCATCAAGATCCCATTCAGCAATGTTTATCAGCATGTGTGCACGTACCGGGACTTTTACTACAAGACGTTTGAGCTTCCTGACTGTCCTCCTGGCGTGGACACGACCGTCACCTACCCTGTGGCTTTGAGCTGCCACTGCGCAGACATTACAAACATATAGAAACTTTTACTTTGTAAATGAGGATTTCTACATTTGCCAGTGCAAAAGAATTATGTTTTCGTGCAATTAAACCAGGTAAAAGACCCATACTAAATACTGTGTGTGTGTGTGTGTGTGTATATATATATATATGAACTTCCATAAAGAGGAAGACTGTTAGTCACTGGGCTTATCATCTATATGCTTCCTGCTACATGATGCAAGCACTGTCACCTTTACTTGTTTTTCATTACGCAATATATATATACGAGATCTGATCTGTCTTTGAGGTTATGGTTTGTATGTTTTAGGGAAACAGTGGTGTGTAAGATTAACTTTGTTACTGGGGTTATAAAATAAGTACATTTACAGAGGATTTCTCTTATAAATTGTGTGGCTCTAATCTTAATATAAAAAGTAATGTGCACAATGAAAATTAAGAGGGATGTGTTGGTGATTTGCAGTTAAAAAGATGTGCAGTTGTCTCAATTATAAGATTTTTCTACAGACCAGCCAATATTTCAACAGCATTTCAAATATGTTGTTTTTACCTAATTATCAAATGTTTGACTACAAATGCTGCACCTGCTACAGTATTTACAATTTGTGTGTATGCCTCCTACATTTGCCTCAAAAAAGAATAGTCTCTGAAATTATAGCCAATGAAAATAACATTGAGCATTAGCAAAAAATTAAATCCAGCATTTTTATGTAGCATTTTACACTTCTCTAAAAAACCTTCACACAGTATCAAATGTCTGTATTATCTATGCTTAGCTACGCAATCAAAATTATTCAACCCCCACTGCAAATCAGGTTTATTGTCAAAATGTACAGACTTTCAGCTGTTTGCAATGAAGTAATCAAACAAAAGCAATTGAAATAGCTCAACGCAACAAATGCTTCAAGCGTTTTCCCCAAATTCATCTGAAAATAATGACTTCTCCAGTCTCAAAATAATTCAGGTACTGTGGCTTTGAAGTCCTGTATAGATGTCACACTGTTACATTTGGTCAGCATTTATTATAGAAAAATAAAATACCTTCAAAATGTTAAATATAACTTTCAGGAATCAACTTTAGCACCAAAGACATAAGGCAGACTCTAACAAAGCCAAACAGACATTAACCAGGAAAATATGGCCCTTGCAATATCCACTTTATATATAATTGTAAATATTTTCTTTGTAGCTCCAAAAAGATTTGTCCATATAAAGCGATACACCTACACTGTATAAAAGGTCAAATGAAATCATCATAAATACAGCATACAAAATAAAAGTGCTGGGTGCTGTTCAGTAAAATAAATTAGAACAAAACTGAAAATAAATTACAATCTGAATCAAAATTCTGCTACTCCTCACTTGGTTCACAACTATCATTTTGATACAGGACACATATCAGATCAAAGGGGCTTTATCTTCAGGTGGCATTGCTGTGCTGTCCTCTCATACTTTCTCTCTCTCATCCTCTCCGAAAAATATCATTTCAATTAAAAGCCCTTACCTTCAACTCTCCATGACTGAGCTTCCCCTGTGCTAGAGCCTGCCTATGCTCGTACTGATTGTACAGCTACAAATGCGTGAGAAGAACTTCAGTAATAAATATGTTATGTCATATTTATTCTTGAAGTTCTTCTCAGAAGAGTACGTAACAAGTAACAATGATCCATTTTCTAATCCTATCTATGCATAATGTGATTGCCTGCCCGGCGCTGCACACTGCCACTGTACCTATCACTGCTCCACCACAGAAAAGGTGGGTTAGTTTGGCACATTTAGCTGCCTTCTGTACCAACATTGTTTTTCGTGGTGCACTTCTCCCGACGTTCCGAGCCAGAAATCCAACAACAGGGGGCACCCCCATAAGTCCGATTTCCAACTCAGAAAGTCTGGAGAACCACACACTACCTCTAACTTTGTGATCCAAGATGGCTGCTCCGTGTATCAACAGTTATTCACAGTTTATACTGTTTATTAGCACTTCTGTGTATTTGCGTCCCATAGATATTGTCGTACACAAAGAACTGTCCAACTGCTGACTGTAGACATATTGCTATTGTGTTTTGTATATGTAAATACTGCTTACTGCGTTTTTATAAAGCGGCGTTGGTTACAATGGATAATTGGGCTAGTTGTGAATAAAGACTGGCTGAGCGAGATTTTCCGACTTGCGGTCAAATCGCAGCTCTGACTTCCCACTTCTGAGGTAAATGCACCTCAACTTCATGGTATGTCAGTTCCATGTACTGAACCCTTGTTATTCAACTATGCAAAGGTAAACAGTTTTCCATTCTACAGCACCTTTTAAGATAATTATGATGAAAAAAACTTCTAATTTAATTTAGATCAGGCTGAATTGTACAAGCATTAAAACAAGCAGTAAAAGTAGTGAGGCTAAACAGTGACTTTAAAGCAGCCGTCGTTAACAATTAAACATACAATACGAAACCTTTCACGTCTCTCTCTGCCCCTTGTATCGCTCCTCTAAGCCCTGCCCACCAAACCCTCTTTTGGGTTTGGTGGGCAGGGCTCTGTGAATACCATGTAGAGCATGCTCTCCACAGCCAGAGCCTCACCAGGATCCTGGTCTTACTCACAACAATTTGTCTTTTCAAACATTGTCACCTCCAGCACTTAGCAGCCCAGGGCAGAGTGACCCAGGCTTCAGAGGCTGCTGTCAAACAGCATTGGCGCCATGGCATCGAACATAATGAGCCCGAATACATTCATTGAACAATCACTATCAGCGCTGACCCTGATGAGAAATACATTGCATTTCCTGTGTTGCTTCAAAATAAAAGTCACCCCGTGTTCCACCTGTTGAATGTTTTAATATGAAGCTGCATATTGTGGTGAAGAGAATGTAGAAATTCATTTTTATTTGGGATGTAGTGGAGACTGGAACAGAGGCCAAAGGTGGGGTGTTGAGGTGCTCACGTCCCACATTTATAAAATAGCTGCTCTACCCCTGAGAACACAGGCAGGTCAGCGGTTCATCTGCAGCCCCTTTCCTCATGAAAACATACAGAACCAAGACTGCTTGAGGTCCTCTTCTCTTTTAGCTGAGGTGAAGGCAGGCAGTCATGTCAGGACCACAACAGAATAATGCATCCACAAGCACTAAATCAAAAAGTCCATCATAGATCATTTAAATGCTTTCGACTACTTTTTTTCTTACGATCTTTAGAAGAGGAGGTGCAGATTAACAGGAAACTACTGCATGTTATCACTCACCATTTTCACTGTGGACTGTGTGAATGCAGACGACAACACATCAGACACTTCTGTAGGGAACTCATTCAGGTGGAGTCTCGCAGCTTTCAAAGGTAAATGTTGTAAATAACTTTTTTCTGAATATATAAAACTGAAAAGACAGCGGTGTTTGATTCGATATGATTGTGGGTAAACTACAGGTACACTGTATTTGTGTGATCTCACCTCACAGCTTTAGTGATGTCACTGAACAATGTAATGTAGATATTAAAAAACCTGCTCCCTTTAATAACCTGATCTCTCAACAGGTTTCACTCTGAAGAATGGAAGATTTCTACATTAACAACACCTCACAGAACTATGATTACAGCGAGTTCACCTTTAACTCCTATGAATATAAAAAACTTGCATTCATCAAACATGTGGTTACATGTACAATCATTGGTATCGGCCTTCCTTTGACCCTTGTGGCTGTCTATGCTCTTTATTCTATGGTATGTAGATAATGACTGAGAGTTATTTAAATATTCTGTGTCGTGTGTCTGTTATATAGTCTGTCTGTGAAGTATGATGAGGAGCATAATTAAGGCATTAGTAAGCAACATTGTGAATAAAAAGAGGTAAAATACAACATATTGCACTTGGGAGCAAGCGGGAGCTTCCGGTCAGCAAACTGATGCGAACGCAGTGTCCCTTAAACCTGCATTCTTTCGAACGGTCAGCAGGGGGCGACTCTTCTCGTAGCAAAAAGAAATCTGGTCTCATTACAAATGACCCTACTTCTCCGCTGATTTATCACCTCAGGAAACACTTTCCTAATGAGTTTATGGTCTCAGTCGCTAGTTTCAAGTCTTCTTCATTATAACATGATGTTCATTTAGTAAATTATGGTCCCATTTAGAGGGAAATAGACTATAAAGCAGAGTATGCTTCAGGGCGGGATTATATGTGATTGATAAGTCGTTAACATGGCGACTTTTCAATCAGGCTACAATGACTCGTACCCATGAACCAGCGCCGTTGAAAAAGCTATCAGCCCTGTTAAAAAGACAGTTAACGTGAGTTATAGATGCACCTAGCTAAGCAAGCTAGCTAGCTGCGCACACGGCTGTTAGCTCCGCTGTCTCGTCCAAATTTAGTCACGTCCGGTGCTGCTGGTTGCAAAAACTCAACATGGCGGCGCCCTATCGGCCAAACTCGAGGCTTCAAAACGGCGGTTCACAAACGGGTGACGTCACGATGACTACATCCACTTACAGTCTACGATTGAGAGAGAGAGAGAGGAAGAGCAGCAGGTCGAGCAGCTCAGAGCAGGTGGAGCTGGAGATGGTGTTGATATTTCTCACTTTGTGTGGCAGAGAGGTGGTAATGGTGCAGTGGGTAAGACACATGCCTTTGGTGTGAGAGACCCGGCTTCGAATCCACTCTGAGACACCAATGTGTTCCTGAGCAAGACAAGATGCCATAAAAAAAATAAATAAATAAGAAAGAAAACAAAGACAATCAATATGTTGCAGTCAGTGTTGATAATTATGATATGGGAAACACTTCATTACCACTCCCCTTCACCCCCAAACAAAGCGTAAAACAAAGATAAATCCAGCTCATGTGTTTGAGCCAGAATGCTTCATATCTGTGGCTGAAAAACTGCTGCAGAAGCTGCAGGAAATCTGGCTCTTAGTCTTGCCAGTGTCATATCTGAGATTTCTGTTGGATGAAAAAGTCAGAAATGGCTCTGACTGCAGCTGCTGTGCAGAGCAAGATGACAGATTTGGGAGGAGGTGGACTTCACAACATGTTTCCAACTGCTTGTTGACTTTTACCTGCAGGTGAGAAGTGATCATGTTGCTCCGATCTACGTCATCAACCTTCTCATTACCGACCTCCTTCAGCTCTGCTACATGATCGTTGAAGCTGCAAAACCTGAGAATGTGAAGACATCTGACATTGTCAAGTATATTTTCTACCTCGGTCTGATTGCCAGTGTTGGCTTCATGGTCTGCGTCGCCCTGGAAAGGTATCTGTCTGTCTATCCAGTATGTGTGGAGCTCCTTCTGTGTCTGAACATTATATTAGTTTATAACTCTGAAGCTCCTCAAAGACTTTGTGTCCATCTTGTATTACAGGTATTTGGTCATCGCCCACCCGCTGTGGTACCGCTGCAGACGAACCATCAAGAGCTCTGTGGTGGTCTGTGTCTTGGTCTGGGGCATTCCTCTTGTATATTTCCTCACTTTGTATTTCTGGCGTGTATATGTGGCCCACATCTTCGCTGTCCTCCTCCTCCTTCCCTTCCCACTGTTCATATTCTTCCTGGTTGGGGCCCTCAGAGCCCTGTCTGCTTCCGTCTCGGTCCCCTCTGATGAAAAACGAAGAATTGTGGGAATTTTGGTTCTGGTGCTGCTTATTTACACGCTGCTGTTCCTGCCCACCATCATTTGGTATCTGGGGATATACTATGACAAGACCCTCAGCGAGCTGTCTTTCATGTTTCTTCCTCTTGCAGACTTAGTCCTGTATGTGTTCATGAGGAAAGGGATCATAGACAAGCTTTTGGCCTCTGTGTGTTGTTGCAGAATGGACAGCAATGATATCAGCAGTTCATCAGTATGAATGATGACAACATTTCCACAGTCAGCTTCATGCAGAAAGAGAGAGAGAGAAAGGGGAGGAAACAGGAGGAGTTTTGCAACAACTGTTACAACTATACAATATGGATAAAACCACGTAATAAGTAAGTTTTCTGGAAGTCCAATAGATACAACTGTGAATGTTTCAATCTGTTTCAATATAAGTTAGTAAAGTCTACTATAAGTTTCCCATTTTTAAACTTTAGCTCATTATTCGCTGAGACCGAAAAGCCACAAGCTAAATGTCGTGATGTGAGCCACAGAAAAGATTTCCATCCAGCTTGAAGGGTAGGCAGCTTTCTTTGATTTGATGTGTGGGGTGTAGTGATCCTACACTTTGTTAATGAAATTATGAATAATAATATTTGGAAATTTTATCATAAAGACTCGTTAAAGGTTACTAATTGTTCAATTATTTGAAATCAGTAGGTTTAATCAATCAGTCAGTCTCAAATCTAAGGGTGAATTCTCCATCCAGTGACCTGGATGCTAAACAGTACACCCACAGGTTACTGTGATCAAAGTAAAAAATTATTAGCTAACTAAAGTGAATAGAAAGTGAGGTTAAATAAATCAAGGAAATAAAACAATAATGTCTAAACAACCAAAATGCAAGCAATGGGAGATAGAACAGAAGTAATAGGGTTCAATGTGAATTAGTTTGCTATTGTGGAGAGAAATATGATTCTAAAGGAATAAGAGAAAGAATGGACGCAGGTTATATGGAGATAACTGAGCTTAACCACAGAATGTAGTTTGTTTGTCTCACTGCTTCTTGTTTCCCCACCGTCCGGTGGCCGTTTGGTTCGTTGTGTTCACACCCTTTCGGCAAGCTTAGTGCGCTCCACTGCCGTGATCAGAACTGGTTGTCCCGGGGTCCCGCTCCTGGTTGATGGTAAACTATTGCAGTGACAGGGCCGTTAGCCTGGCTTGGTTCATTAGTTGATGTCCTCTGTGTTACTTGTGGTGTAACCTAACCAACTCACATGGCTGGCCTTCGACTTTGTTTGTCGTTGGGAGGAGTGGAAGTTAATTTGAACCAAAATAAATGCTTTTATTATAAACTTGGCTGTTTTCTGAATCAAAAGTTGCGTATATTAAACTGTCTGATAACTTTAAACAAACAAAACATTTCAAGATTCAACATTTCATAATGATCATAGCAGATGAAAGAACAGCTTAACTAAATATTTCCAGGATAATATTGTTAAACATTCTTACAAAGGAAGTATTTCAAACATGGCATCAGTTAAACAATAAAACACAGACAGTGATTATCTATCTATCAGGATAATAAGGAAAACATTTAAAAACAATGGCATGTTGTACCTCTTTTGTCCTCTGGGGGACATTCGTTTCATGAATGGAGACTGAAGATAACTTTGATTACTTAAACTTTAAATTCAATTCCTGGCTCAGGAGCTGGGGAAATTAATTAGATAACACAGGATAATATTTCTGTTACAAATTCTTTATCCGTTTGTCTTTTCAGAGTAATGTCTGCTGACGATGGCATGTTCTTAGTCCTTAGATCACAACATTCTTGTTGACAGACTAAGGCAATAGGTGGGGATTTCTGTCACAGCTTTACAATGGTTTTCATCTTATCTGTCAAAGGAGGTTCTGTTTCTCCATGAACGATTATGTCTCTTCATTTTGTTCAGTTAAATATGGTGTGCCTCAGGGGTCAGTCTCGGGACCTGTCTTATTTTCTTTATTAAGACCCTGCAGTTCACTGCTTCTGCGAGTCCTGTGCTGTGTTTTTTTGGACCAACTTCGGCATGAATGACTCATTTCTACAACTAGTCTCAAGCAATTGCAGCATAAAGCACATGAAAACAAACAATACTGTACATATAGAAACCTTTAGTACTTTACTTTAAAATATTGTTACATTTAGCCAATACAAAAGAATTATGTTTATATATATATTAATCATGCAACTAAACCAGGGGGGGAAAAAACACACTGAATATGTCTAGACGTTAATCACTGAGGTCATCAGCTATACGTTTCCTGCCACATCCAGTCAGCACTAGTGTCACTCTTGATTTTCTTTACGCTATACACCTGAGAAGCTTTGAGGTCATGGTTTTTAAGTTTTAGGGGAAAACCTTTCAGACTTTTAGTAAATATTAATTTGCGGCAGACATTATTAAGTGTGACAACAGATAAGACCAATATTTTTCATTATAAGTTAGTCTACTAAGTAATAAGTAACAGGTTAGTCTACTGTATGTTTCCCCTTTTTAACTTAAGCTCATTATAAGCTGAGATCCGACAATAACAAGCAGATTCAAGAATTTCCTCGGGATCAATTAAGTATTTCTGATTTCCCAAACTGTCAGCCTGTTTCTTTAGATACCTTGGCTCTCTGCAGGTGACACTTTGTAAACTAGCAAACTGCATTTTGGAAGATGAAGTGAAAAGCAGGCAAGTGACCTTGATATGATGATACTCATCATTCATTTGAAATAAGATCTCGCACCATCCCTTATTCAAATATGTATATGTACACTTAATTCACCCTTTGCTAAGCCATGCCCCGAATATGCAAGCTGACCAATCACAGCACAGTATAGGACTTGCTCTAACTGAGGCCAGACACTGTCAGGACAGTGCTCCATTGACTCCTATACAAAAGGAGTCGTCTTTTTTTTTTTTTGCTGACTTTTTCCAAGATATGGTCAAACGCTCTTCATGGGGCACTTGTAACAGTGATAGTAATCACTACTAAGAGAGGTTCAGAGAAGTACAATATGTTTACTTTACAAAACCCAAAACAAATCCAGAAAAATGAAGGCTGGGGATTGTTGCTAATGTTAGGTAGCTAACACTAGCTAACTTACTTTACTTTTTACTTTACTGAATGTAATGTTATAAAGCACTACTGCCTTTGCTTATAACCTCAATTTATTAATCTCACCTTCATTCAGAGCTCACATATGTAACTTCTTTCTCCTCAGCAAGAAATATCCGTTTGGTTGGTCCACTGATCCCTTTCTGATCCCCGGCTTTCATACTTAGATGTGTAGGTTAACAGGCAAACGAATGTCTTGCTCTCATCAACCATCTTCAGTAAATTTAACACTGTATAAAACATTGTCCAGTGGGCCTGAGAAGTAGATAAGACTTGTATCTGCACCAGTTCGACATGAGTATCTCTTGTAATTTACAGTAACTTACACATTTAGTCATTCTGTCCTAAGAGACGTATGAATGAGTAACATTGGGGTGTTTAAGCCTACTTGCTTTAGTCTGTCAAACGTTTGAGTGAAAGAGGAAGCTGCAGCAGGGGATCACTGACACCATCTGTTAACTGACAGATTAGCAAACTCTGTGCCTTTGAGGCTGTCATCGAACAGCTTTCACTCTTTTAACAGTAAGTTTTCCTTTTCAGCATGTTTGATGCTTTTTGTGGGTCAAGGGCAGATATTTCATGTCACTGTTCGTGGTCTGAAAAAGGTATGCAGTGGACACTGTGAGGCATCTGCGGGGATGGACATAAGCTTTCTCTCCAAAATAGGATTTTTAGAAAATTTAGATACTGTTACAAAATTTTACATTTTTGGAGAAGAAAACCATTGGAGCAAAGATGCAGATCAATTGAAGGTTCAAAATTTTTAAATAATTGAAATAAAATTACTATATGCTAAGCTGTTTTTGAGGTAATCCCATAGGAAAGCAAAATCCAAGATGGGATCTCATAGTTGTTTCTTTTCTCCTAGACAGAAATGAGCTGCTTTTAATACCAAAGTGAGACCAAAGGCCTTTTCTCCTACTTCTCAAATTCATCTCAGGAGAAACAACCATATAAAATCTCATTTATATCTGACTCTGACCAAAACAAGAGATCTCTAACTGATCTTAAATAAGTCTAATTTAAGTCTCCTGAACGTTGGACCATGAGATCAGAGAAAGAGCTCAAAGAAAACTCAGCTATGACTCCTGGGATCTCATGATTCTTCTCAAATATGTCTCAGTTTTCTCACATTGGAGCAAAAAACTAATCTCTGTCTTACTCTGATCAAAAGATGAGATCTCTAGTTTTGTCAGTGATCGCACTTAAGGGTTATTTTACTCCAGTACTTTACTTACGCCAAATGTTGAGGTTGAGTATTTTCTTTTTATGGGGGTTTGTACTTTTACTCCCCTTAATATCAAATCCTTATTGTATTTATTGTTAATTATCTGTTACAAGTTACTGAGAAAAATAAAATGAATAAATATTGAAAATAATGCACCTTTAAATGTCATGTTTTCCAATTTGTTAAGGTAGTCACAGCCAGCGTAACTGGAACAACCAATACTTTGACATGATGTTTAGAGATTAATTCATTAAGGACCGAATGCACGCAAGAAGTGAGATACAACATGTATCTGTCATACAGAATAAGCACTTTTACTTTTGATACTTAAGTACATTCACTATGGAAAACTTTTATACCTTTTACTTGACTAGAATTTTGAGGACTTTAATTGTGGATATGGTATTTCTCCTCTTTTAAGTAAAGGAAAATTGTAATCTATTTAAAGACAATCAGTCCTGTAATTTTAATCTTAGCTGGATCGCGCAGCAGCAGTGTTGTTGCATTTTGCAGGAGCAGGGTTCAAATCCAGCTCAGGGCCTCAGGGAGCAATAAGCAAGACATTAATGAACTCAAAATGATACAATGATGAGATCTCATCTGTTACTTTCATTTATCCTGTTGTAATCTCAATTCAGTATCCATTTGTTTTAACCAAATCTCAAAACCTCAATCTCACTTCATCTCATCCTTTTCTCCTAAGGGGTTTTAGGAACAACAATCCAGATTGGAGTGATCTCAAAAAGATATACTATTGAGATCTTAGTGTTTTCTATTCAGAGAAAAAGATTTTTCCTCTGGGATTGCATAACTGCAAAAAACATAAACAGTATGTGGCGCACCAGGCCTTCTATTTACTCTGTTAATCCAAACGTGTTGCTATAAAATGCTGTGAGCATCCCTCCCTTTGGAGAATTGAGACCTGCCACTGGGATATATTTTGCTAACTGTAAATTTCCTTATGGACAGCAGGGGGAGCTCTAATGCGACACCATTGGCTGGTCTGTTGATAGAGACGAAAGGAGAAGTATGTAGCTGCAGAACTGGAGGCAGTTTCAATCCTAGGACTGGAACTGCATTTCTAGGACCCTCGTTTACTTTGATACTGCCAGCTAGCTGGCTAGCTAGCTAGCTATGTTACTTTTGACAGCCCCCCGAAGCCAGTTACCGTTACCCTTGAGACCCCTGAAACTGTTGGACCCATACGCTGCGCAATAGCAACAAGATATGCAGCAGGCAGCTTGGAAGTGGTGTGCAGCCATGTTAGCATCTTAGCTAGCAGAACGGCAACAGTATTATCCAGTTTTTATCCTGGTGAACGTAATTCACACCATCAAGTCTCATCAGTCATGTTTCGGTTTAAAAATAAATTCATGCATATAAGCATCGTTTGTATTTCCATGAACAGTACGATACAAATCATGTAAAAACAAAAGAGCTACACAATCTGACAACCTGTGCACAGAAAAACATTAAGAAACTAAAAGTGATCTCAGAGCAGGACTTTACCTCTTCAACAGCTGCACCATTTATTTCTTTTTTGTGGAAGTTCTTCGGCTGCTTCTGTTGTGGAGAAACTCGCCACACATGCACTCTGCACATCACACATGTAAATCTGCATCAACAGCACAGTCAGCGTTATTTTAGGACTTTGTTTGGCATCATCAAGATGTCAGTTACAAATATTTTCCTTTTTTTTCCCACAGGGACCAATTTAAACATCAAGATTAAGGTTTTTAAGACACATTTTGTGCAACAATATCCTTTTTTAAACTACGGCAGGTCAGAGGGGACATCTGTCCTTGGTTTAAAATCTGCATAAATAAATACGCTCAGCTTAGATGTTTTTTCTTTAATTTGCAGCTGTCCGTGTGTGGTGCTGCTTTTTTTCTTTACAGACAGAAAAACACTCCTTTTGACCTCCAGAAACAAAAGTGTTGAAGGTGAACGACTCAACAAATCAGGTGTGTAACCGCTGGAACGTTTTTCTTGTATTAATGTTCACACAAACAGACTCTTTTGACACTTTTCACAACAGTTAAAAGTTAATATTCAACAGTTCAGACACAGAAAACTCACCCACACTGTAAATCAGGCATAAATAACAATTAAATATTTCCATAAATATTCCTCTTAACATGTATTTCTGTTCCTCAGATGTCCTGTGTTTACGATCACGATGCTTTGGATGTTTAATATCTTTACAACAAAAAGCAGCAGCAAAGAAAATGTTAGTTTTTTTTCGTCCATTTTGGATGAATAAACGTTTGAACATTCTCAGTGTAGCACCAGACAGAGTACAAAATAAGTTCAATTATGGATTACATAAAAAAAAACTGTTTATGTATAAATATCCCCCTCCCCAAAAAAGAAGAAAACAAACAAACACAGGTAGAAAGATCCAGAAAGGCACTTTAGTGTGATGATATCCAACAACAGATACAGTAAAGGCTCTTTGAAATGAAAAGTGATTTTAAATCAGATGTTTCTTTACTCAGTTTCAGACTAACTGCAGGAGGCTTCTGTAAATAACCTCCCAGTGGTCCCAGTACAGAACGTCCTTAATGATTTGTATGGTTTCTGACAGCAGCTTGATCAGAGCAGTTAAAACCGGTGTGTTAGAGTTTGTCCTCTAAGTGGTCCCATCAGTTTTGTTCGCTACGTAACTCTTTTTCACTTGAATGTTGTTTTTCCGATGGTACCCTGAATGCAGCAGCTTTCATGAGACGAGTCTAAAAAGAGCTGAATCCAGGAGTCAGATGTATAAATGATACGTAGACACAAAAACAAACCACTAATTGCTAATTTCATTAAACTGTATTTTGCTTTGTTTAGCAATCACACATTACAATTATTAATAATTTCGATTTCATTAGTGGAAGGTTAATTTTGTTTCCTCGTGTTCATCATTTTCTCATTTCATTTCATCTTTAATTGAATCGCACTTTGTGAGGTCTGTTTAGATATATTTCTCAAGTTGCTGAAAACTATATAAATAAATAAGCAACAATCAAAGTTCAGTTAAAGTTCAGAAAAACAGTTAGCTATTATTAAGAGTTTAAACACTAAAAACTCAGCTCCTATGTTTCACCGTGGACTGTGTGATTATAGTTTAGTAACCAAACAACTTAAATGTTGCGAAACTCTGATTGGTGCTCAGGATTATTTGACCTTCTGGAGTCCCGCCCACTTCAAACCAGTGAGAAGAGCACAGAAAAAACTAAAAACAAAACAAGCAATAAAGAAACAGCTCATGTGTAACCGCTCAAACTGTTTCAGCTGTGTGCTCATGTCGGATCCATCTCTCACTAATCGACTGAGAAGCTGATGCCCGTTACTGGTTGAGGTATCACTGCCCATACGGGTTTACATGTGATGACCTGATGATAGCTCAGGTGCTAAACATAGCCACGCTGAGCATCATGCTAATAAGAAGAGCTGCTTTAGCGTTCGATTCTTGTTCGCTGTTCTTTCCATCGACAGTAAACCGGTGCTCAAAGAACAGCTTCACATTCTTTCCAGTCTGATTTAAAACAGAACTGACATGATCATATGTGGTTACTGGCTGCTGTAAGCGAATCCATTTCAATGTGAAAGACGGAGGACAGAATATGCAGTCCTCTTTCTGTGCAAATATGTCTTCTGTAGTTCAGCTGGAGCTAACGTGAAGCGTCAGCAGTCTGAGACGAGTCAAGTGAGCATCTTCCAAAGTTAAAGACTTTAGCGTCAAACTCTGCAGGATGGCGTCTGCAGATGACGTCTGGATCGGCCAAGATCACTGCAGCAGTGGTTCTCAAACGTTTTCACGTCAAGCACCCCTAAACTGACACAAACTAGACCAAGGACCCAAATTTGATAAGATTTTGTCACAAGGTCCCCGATCTGATAGCTTTTAGATGTTTTCTTACAGAAAGTGTATGAAACCCATGACCAAAATAGTTTCTGTCATCATGTGACTCACTCATGGGAGGAATTATAGTGAAAATAAATTATTCCATCGGCCATGACAGCAGGTGTGACTATGGGCAGACAATCAGACGCTCTTTCAGGCAACCAGAGACGTGAATACAAAAAGATAAAAAAAGTATTATTATTTGATCTGATGAATAAAAAAATATATATATGTATTATTTGACTGAATTCTATTCGCTATCATTGATGTTTCATGACCCTAACCACATGATGAAAGAATAAGGATGGTGATGGTACAGTCGATAAGACACATGCCTTGGGTGTGAGAGACCTGGGTTCGATTCCCACTGTGACACATCCACTAATGTGTCCCTGAGCAAGACACTTACCCCCTAGTTGCTCCAGACTCGTGCGACCTCTTACTTGTATAGCAGTTGTAATTCGCTTTGGATAAAAGCGTCAGCTACATGAATTTTTTTTAATATGATTAGTCTCACTCAGTCTGCTGACGCCTCATTTTATCTTTGGTTAAACTTGTGGATTTGAAAGTGCGTTAGGAAGAGATCTTTTAATTTCACGTTTGAACAGGAGGAACAATTCCAGCACTCAGTAACCCTTTCAGTGAACATACAGTCATGTCAGTATTGTTTAAAGTTGAAGCTGTCCTTTATTGAAGTTTGTCATATATCGAAGGCTCACGTTGGGAGTGGAAATGAGCATTTCCACAATAACTGAGATTCATAAAACAGAACAATGCGTGCGCACGGCTTCGTACATCAGACGAATACATATTTCTGTCTTGTGTGTACAAAGTTTTATGCATCTGACCCCTGGACAGGAGGAAACACTCAATGTTTCAAAAGGTTTGTTTGAGAGAAAAATCCAAAATGTTGAACCTTTTTCTCTTTATGTTTGACACTCTGTGACTCCTGATGGTCACATGATTATTGAATGACCTGGAGGTGCAGTTTGTTTGCCATCCTCGTTGCACCGAGTACAACAATGACCCTGTGCAAGGCCTTCTGGGTAGCAGGAGATGGGGTGGTGATTTACTGCTTTATGCAGAATTAAACCTCTCCTTCACTGCTGTGGTAGTGTGGTCACATGACTTATGTTTCAAAGCTGGTTGGCTTCTAAATGAGCAGTTGTTCAGACCAAGAAAAAACATCTGATGTTTCCTTAAAAAGTGAATGATTCTTTTGCTTCTTTACGTCTCCTCGTGGTTTGTTCAGGGTCATGTGATCCATCATGAAGCGTCTCATGTGTTTGGCTGCAGTCTGTAGTTTCCTGCCTCATCACAAAAAAATCTGAAGCCAACCAAATCTAAACATCTCACCTAATCACTGAAGTCGGCTTTGTGTTGCAGCAGTCAACAGAGAGTCTTCCTCCATCTCTACCGTCGAAACTCACTGTTGAACAAACAGGTGCGAATACGCTCGGGTCGTGGATTTGACTCCCTCTGGATCCACTTGTGGTGCAGTTAAGGCGCTTTAAATAAAAGCGTCACCAGACGGCAGAAGTCTCAGCGTTTACAGGCATTTCCACACAAACACACTGCAACAGACAAACAGACGTTCACACAGTTGAACGTTAGAAACTCTCACCAAGACATCTTACCCTATGGAGTCTTATTTAAAGGAACGTAACTTTATTTATATATCATGTACAGACATTCGTGTCAATGTATGTTTCAATATTTTCAATGATTTTCATGAAAACATAGACACTGAATAAAATTTTAAAAAATAACAATAAAAATCACTTTACGTGTAAATAGACTGTATTGTAGTTTTATTTCTTACATTTTTCTACTGTATTTGTGTTTAAACAGTGAAATTACATTTTTTTTTTTAACTTAACTACAGATGTGAACTTTTTGTATATGTGCCTGTGTCATTTCTATTTTATTTTCAGCTTTGTACGTTACTAAATTGAGAAATTGAGAAGTCAGACTTTCAGCTGAGTTTGAGTTAAAAAAGGCATCATGCATGTGGAGTGACTAAAATGTTGAGTCTTATTTCTGCTTGAAAGTCATCAGTAATATTTCAGAAACGCAGATGATTTCATTCTTGGTTAAATGTTTTGTTTGTTGAAGTTAAACGGTCGCACGTTGTGTTTTTATTTTTGAGAGAGGAGTCAGTTTTTATCTCAGCAGTGGAGTGAACACACCCTCTTAAAGAGAAGAATCTAAATGTTACGTTTCATGTTCAAACTGCAGCTGCTTTGGGTTTCAGGTGATCGTCTGTTATTGATCAGTGATCAGTTCACCTGCAGTCGTCTCCTCCTGTGCTGACCACGTATCTGTCTTCGTGGGAGAAGCGGATGTTGGTCACGTGAGGCGAGTGGCCGAGGTAGCGCTTGTGTTTGGCCTGCAGACAGAAAAAATTCTCACATTTCTCTTCAATAAACAAACAATAAATTATCTTTGTTACTGTCGTTCAAAGGGTGCGGTGATGCTTGCTGGTTATACAAGTCCCAGATTTTATCCAACCACCCAGAAAATATATATCTCTCTGTCTAAATTGTTATTGTTTAATGTTTCCAAATTCTCACCCACTTTGCTCATGAACAGCTCCCATGGGCACTCAGTGGTCTACCAGCTCTTTTCAGCCGTTATAGACTCAAATCATCCAACGCTACTTTACAAAAATGAAAATGTCGGTGACTCACAAACTTCTCTGTGCAGGGGAAGTCGAACAGTTTGACCAATCCAAAGTCGTCGCCGGTGACAATGTTCAGGCCGGCGTGAGACACACACGCGCAGTTGACTTCAGCTTTGTCTGCGTTTCGCGGCCATATTCCCAACACTTCATCTCCCAGGATGCTGCGGGAGAGAAGAGACAGGAAGTGTTGATTCAAAACAGCTGAACACGGCACATTTTAGTTACTTCAGAAAGTTTTACTTTTACAGCTGTAGGACTATAAAACAGCTGGAGGCAGACAGAGTTAGACAACATTAGATGGACAAATAAATCACAAGGCAGATAAAACATTTGTGGAGACTTGTGGATTTTATTATTTGACTTTCAAGTTTTTAAAGATAATTTGAATACTGTGTGTGTGTGTTACCTGGTCCAGGTTGCCCATGTGATTCTGTCAATTATGGTCTGGTCGCTCATCAGCTTCCCTGAAGGAACTTCAAACACCTGTCGCTTATAAGCTCCTGTGGACACCTGCGCACACAGAAAATATATATGGGGTTGAGTGTGATGGCAGTGTCACTGAGCACTGAGGGGTTTGGAGTAGGGAGACCAATTAGACCAAACAGTAATAGCAGCATCAGAAGTAGTGATAATAATAACAACAGTAATAGCAGCAGCGAAATAATTAAATAGTTAAGTAGCCTAGTTACATCAGTTAAATAAAACCTTGAATAAAAGCAAGGTGTATTATCAGTATGTACAGTGCGTGAACTATTGTAATGAGCGAATAGTTGTGTGTAATGTGAGAGATGTACAGTAGTGCAGTGTAGTAGTGACTGAGAGCGCCCTGAGTTTCCTGATGGACAGCAGCATTTATTGATGTCGGTAGTGTGATGATCAAAGCTGAGTTTATTGTCAAGGGTGATTGCAAGGTACTTGAAGCTCTCCAACATCTCAGCTGGCTCACTGTTGATGGAGATGTGGCAGTGCGAGTGGCAGTTTACTGGGTTTATTGCAGGTTTCAATGAGTCTTGGTGACATTAGGGAGAAGGTCACTGTCTGTGCACCACTGAGTGAAGTGAGAGGTGGATTGCTGATATGCCATGGCTGAGTTATTGTCCTTGAGAAGTGCAAGTATGACTGTGTTGTCTATAAAATACTGTGTAATGGGGCTGGAGCTGAGACAGTCATTAGTGTAGAGGGTGTACCTGTATATACCTGTATATACCTGTATATAACAGCTGTCAGTACTATGTACAGTACATGTGTGTGTATATACCTGTATATAACAGCTGTGGGCAGTGTACAGTACATGTGTGTGTATATACCTGTATATAACAGCTGTCAGCAGTATGTACAGTACATGTGTGTGTATATACCTGTGTATAACAGCTGTCAGCAGTATGTACAGTATATATGTGTGTATATACCTGTATATAACAGCTGTCAGCAGTATGTACAGTACATGTGTGTGTATATACCTGTATATAACAGCTGTCAGCAGTATGTACAGTACATGTGTGTGTGTATATACCTGTATATAACAGCTGTCAGCAGAAAAGTCAAGCTGCAGGATGAAAGCAGGGATGTCGCTGCAGTAAACCAGCCGGTTCAGACTTGGCCCCCCGCTCACATCGTACACATCCACCGTGTTCTCCACCGAACCGACAGCCAACAGCCGCCGGTCTGGACTGAACCTGCACAAATGTTAAGCTTGAGTATTTAGTTGGTATTTATTCTGATTTCTTCAGTCTGGAATTTACACATTTTCTGTGTTTTGTTTAAATGTTGTAAAAATACATTTTTGTTTCCTGCCCTTGTTTGTTCTTGATATCTTTTTTGGTTTACATATATTTGTATATTGTGAAATTCATGACTTCTGTTGTATTTTTGTGGTTTATTTCTCTTTCCGTCACCCCCTCCACTCCCTCTCTCTCGTACCGGATGTCCTGGATGGTGGCGCTGCGGTCTCGTTTCTTCGCCCACATCTTCAGCGAGTTGGAGAGGAGGATGAGGAACTCGCCGTTCTTCATCCCCACCGCTAGCATCTCTCCATCTGCGCTGTAGCTCACACACCGGGCTGCGTGGCCAACACACACCTTGTTCAACAGTTTCTACAGAAAGAGAAAAAAAGAAACAGAATTAACACTCATCCAATGTACTTTAAGCAAAATAGGATTTGTGAAGTCATCTTATCAATAAACATCACTCAGGATAGTTTGGAGGAAGGATCTAATTACCTTTCAATGCTTCTAGTGACTGACATGGGTTAATGTAAAACTCCAGAAATATGGATCAACAATTGGTGGATTATACATAAATATATTCAATTGCACATCGATTTAACCTCCACAGCCGACACAACTCATCACTTTAATCTAATTGTGTACATCTATGTATCTTTATCTCTCTTTGCACATTGCACATGGTAAATTTTACATCTTATATCTTTATATTTTCTCCTACTTTGTATATTTTTTTACTGTTAAGCATCACAACACCAAAGAAAATTACTTACATGTAAAAATCGACTTGGCAACAAACTTGTTTCTGATTCTTTGTACTTTTAACAAATGTTCAATAAAGGCCAAGAGGTCTCTGTATTTTAGAAAGTGGTCAGCATGTGTTGAGATATGCTAAGCTAGCTACAGGCATTCAGCTGTTTTTTTTTCTTCTTCTCTATCATGAATTGATTTAGGTGATAACTTAAGTTTAGAGAGCAGTAATGCACGGCTAGAGAGAAGTAATACACAGCTGGTGTGCAGTATTGCACAGCTGGTGTGCAGTAATACACAGCTAGAGTGCAGTAATGCACGACTAGAGAGCAGTAATACACAGCTAGAGCGCAGTAATACACAGCTAGAGCGCAGTAATACACAGCTAGAGTGTAGTAATGCACAGCTAGAGTGCAGTAATGCACGGCTAGAGCGCAGTAATACACAGCTAGAGCGCAGTAATACACAGCTAGAGCGCAGTAATACACAGCTAGAGCGCAGTAATACACAGCTAGAGTGTAGTAATGCACAGCTAGAGCGCAGTAATGCACAGCTAGAGCGCAGTAATGCACAGCTAGAGCGCAGTAATACACAGCCAGATGCCATGGGGTGGGTGGGTGTGTGTGTGTGTGTGTGTGTGTGTGTGTGAGTGTGTACTTTGTCAGTGAGGTCCCACAGTCTGATGGTGGCGTCGTCGCTGGCGGTGATGCAGAGCTCTTTAGCAGGATGAGCGGTCAGACCCCAGATTCCTCCCCGAGCGTGACTGTCCAGCAGCAGGTTGCACGCTGCGTTCTTCTCCCCCACCTCGATGATCTCCCCGTCCTTCGTCCCCACCAGGATCTTACCCTGAGGAAGGAAAGATGAAGCTGATGAGCAGGACGGACGAAGTATGACGACTGAGGGATAAAAAAATCTAAATCTAAAGCTCTCACCTTGCCTCTGCAGACTGATCGAACACACTCCACCTGCTGTCCCGTCTCCAGCTGGAACGCTCGACAGCGTTTCATCTCCTGATCCCAGAGCTTCACCGCACCGCCCTCCTTAGTCCTGACACACACACACAAAGCATTTGTTTGTTTTTAATAGTCCTACACGTATATATGTGTATATTTTGACACTTGTATATTCTGCACTGATTCTTTGTATAAGTGCACTAACACCTGTTGATATGTTTATTCTGCACTGGCACTTGTATGATTGTATTGCCATCGTATTGTCATGTTAAACACATTGCGTTGCCCAGGACTTTGCCTGTGTATAAAATGTGCTGTTTAAATAGAGATTTACTAGACTTGACTACTCACTGTAATGAAATGTACCCAGTCCAATTCTGGTATGAAAATAAATTTGGGTAAAAATTCTGACACGTGCGACTTCTGGGAAGTCTGTGTTTAAAATGAACTCAGGCATTTATTAACAAGTTTATGTATAATGAGACAACCTCTGTGTTAATTATTATACTGATGAAAGAAAACAATGATAACATGTGTTAAGCTCTAAAAGAAAGCATTTTTTACTGTTACAATGATGTTTGGAAACTGCAGTTAACGCAAAATACATTCAGCTCATCTGCCATCAGCTGTTGGTGTTACTCACGGCCTCTCCTTGCCACCGGTCACGATGAGTCCGTCTCTCAGCGTAGTGTACATGGTAAAGACTGGCCCTGTATGAGCCTTCGCCACCACCCTCAGCAGGTAGTAATCCCTCCACACGTACACGTCCCCATTAATGGCGCCGGTGAATGTCAAGTTATTCTGCAAACACACATTTAGGAATAAAATGTTACTGAACCAAACCTGTCCTGGCTTTTAGCTGAGTAATAATTAATCACATTCATATGATAAATATTTGTTTTACCCACCTGGGGCCTCTTATAAAACAAAAAATTTCAGATTCATAACTCAGCATGCACGTGTCTCATTTGTCCAGTGTGGTAATACAATTTGATATTAGTTTTGAGTGCCAGCTATTGAAATAAATGCATGTTAGGACCAGAAGAACATAATGTGCTGTACAATGGTGACATGCTGTCTTCTTCTACAGCAGCCTTCTCATGTGCCTGCTGTAGACTGGTCTACAACTTCTACACAGATGAGAGCTAAACTTGCAAATGCTAATGTGATGTGTAGATTATATCCTTTATTTTAATGAGGTGACTATATTTTCTACATTTAACTGGTTCAACAAGATCTCTTTGAGAGATATTTTGGCAAAAATTGAATCCTTTACATCTATCACAGTAATGAAGGCGTGTCTGCTTCTGCTTACAACCAGGATTCAGCTATAGACCCGTTTCTGAGAGACGTCATTGTAGTAGTGAGTGCAGAATTAGCTATAAGCTCCTCAACTCTGGTCAGAGCCCCTCTTTGTATTGGTGCAAAGTAGGTGGTGGTTTTTGCACACCATACCTCATTGATGTCTTTGTTAGCATTTTCATTGCCACAATGGCGACGAGCCAGGGAAATTCAGCGTTCTCGAACTGGAAGTACCGGCACTAATGTTACTTCTCGCTGATTGAAATTAAAGGCAAGAATGTTTATGCAGGAAAAAAGACTTTATCCACGTCCATCAATTTTCAATATTTAATTTGGTTACTGCACTGAATATTTAAGAGTTGGATATGTTCTGTTTATTGTTCAATAATACTTAATGGCCAGATTTTCCGTTGTTTCTTTTTACCCAAGTTTACATTTGTGTGTCTTAATTTTGCACTTAAATTTTATTTTTTATATGTTTTTATTTCTATGCATATCATATGGCAGGCTGCAATCTATTGAGTTCAAATAAATACCAAATGTTCTAAAATACTATATATAGTGTTTTTATTCTTCAATCAGTTAATATAAATATCTTTGACATTAAAGCTGTTATAGAACGTAATGAAAATAACATCACAGTTACTTTGCTAACTAATTACTTTTACAATGCGGTAACTGAGTTTCTAACTCAATTACTTTTTGGGAGAAGTAATTTGTAACTGTAACTAATTACTTTTTTAAAGTAAGATGACCAACACTGGCTCTATATCGCGATTTTTGTGAAGGTTTTGGATTTCTCCAGAATCACTACTGCACCTTTAACTGTGTGCTCTTAATCATCGTGTGATTGAATGTGTCACTTTATTAACTTGCTGCATTTATAACTGAATCTCGACACCTAATCCACATCTGGTTTATCAGAGTTCATCTGATTATTCTTATTATAATTATTTATACTAATATAATCTGAATGTTAGCTACAGTTACTGTGCTGCATTAAACTGTTAAAGTTAGTTTAGCTAGCTAGCCGGAACCGGCTGGAACCAGAATGACAGAGTGGTAACCTAGCAACACAGAAGAGCCGTTTCTATCTGAAATCAGGGTAAGATTAGCACTTGCTAGCTGAGAAGCTAACTGTTGCAAAACTCTTTATATTCCCCCTGAGACAGCTGCTGAAAATGTCAAACCTAGAAAAACTCAAAGTGTTGATGACTGAGCGACTAAACGCTGTTGCTGAGGACATATCTGGGATGTTTGAAAGAACCACAGAACTTTACAGGAAGGAACTTTCTCATTTGAGAGAAAATGGCCCAGGTTTGTACATTTTTAGTGTTGTTCACACTCATTTCATTTAGTCAAATGTCAGTTTTCAAGGGTCAGTTACACTTTATCTAATTTTAAAAACTATTTCTTTTTTTATTCGTGCATGTTTGCTAACCTGTTTAACCTGGCAGTTGAACATGGTAACATGCTTTAAAAAAGTTGCCCCGTGTATCATCAGCTTAAGTTTCTAAGCAACTCAATGCTAACAGATGTTAGCATAAAATTTTTTGTAACACCTGCAATACCAGATTTTTTTCTCCACATGTTTTCAGCAGAAACAAGTCAGATAGTTAATAACATAAATCATATATCATCATCTTTTAACGTGATATGTTAGTACACCATCATTGGAACATGAAATCATGATAAAAACAACTAGTAAAAATTAAATATTGTAATATTATTTAGGTAGGTAGATTTATTTTTATACAATACAATAGGTTATAGGGTGAAACAGAATTTGTAACTCCCTTCTGCTACGTAGCAGGCGATGTACATTAATATAGAAGCAATTGTAAAAATGGTTAACATCTGGGACTACCGATGGAAAATAGCCCTCGGGTTAATTCTGGCATATTTACATTGCTGAAAAGCTAAGATGACCATTGATATGCACTTTCCCTTTTAAATAAATAAATAAAATTAAAAATTAAAACTATATTCAGTGGAGCAGTGCTGAGGATGAATTTGAGATCTAGGGTGGAGAGGAAGTATTTTTCTAAATGAAGGCAAGGGTCCAAAGAAAATATGAATCATACTGGAAAGGGGCCTTGCTTTAAAAAAAGGAACCATAAGGTTTAGTCCCTTCCCCAACCTCATCATTTTCTCACAGTCTCTAAGGGAAGCTGTCCGTGAAGGTCATCTAGGTCATAGTTATCTAAGGAGGGTTAAAATCAAGGGCAACTGGTTGAAGATAGTCAAATACATTTTATCCCTTATCCAAGAGACTTCTTCAGTTCTCACTGACTGAAGGGAACCTCAGCTATTTAACCTCTGTGGGCTCGTTGTCGAGATGATCGACACCAATGGTTCGTTAGTGCTCCTGGTTGTCTCATCTGAGGCCTGAGGGAACTGTTGTTCACATTATTGTTACGTTTTATTTAAAAACTGGTTGTAAACTAATGTTTTGTCATAGATGTTGTGGACACAACCAAAACTACTGAAGCAAAGGAATCATCAGGGATCACACTGACGTTTAGTAATGGTACCACTGATCATCAGTGTCAGAATAAAGTTGCAGTTGTCTTTAATATTTGTGCGTATGTTTCACTTTTCCCTTCAGATGTTCCCTCTGAGTTGAGCCCCTGTCTGGACCAGAAGAACCCATGGATTAAAGAGGAAAAGGAGGAACCCTGGACCAGTCTGGAAGGACAGTGCTTTCAAGGAGCCGAGCGTGCTGATACCACCGAGTTCACAGTCCCTCCGGTCCGAGTGAGGAGTGAAGTTGGTGAAGAGAAACCTCAGTCCTTACAGCTTCATCTGAGCCACACTGAGCAGAGCAGAGAGGCCAGCAGCTCACCTCAACATATGGAAACAGAAGCTGAGGGAGAGGACTGTGGAAGACCAGAACCAGCCAGTAATCCACAAATTCAAGCAGATGCACATGACGAGGCCTCAGACTCCTCTGATACTGAAAACAGCGATGATTATTAGGAAGAGGTCAGAGCATCTGAGTAAACACTCCGCCGACGGCTTTTAGCTGCTCTGAGTGTGGGGACAGATTTAGCCAGAACTGTTAAAAGTCACAGCTCATTAAAGTGTAAAATGTAATTCCACACAGTTTATAGTTAAAATTTACTGCTTAAGTTTCTGTGACAGCATACACAACAAGTTTGCTTGTAACTAATAATTTGTCAGTTTTGCACATTTGCATTGTATGATTTTATTTTGAAATATAATGTACTTATAATGTACTGTAACAAAAAAATGATACGTAACTATTAATATACATTCAATAAAAAATAAAATACATATTTATTCATTAATTAATAGAAAGAAAAATGTTTCTCCTAGCATTTCAATCATTTCTAAATTCGCTCTGCTGCTTCCAAGTTTGTATTTTCAAGATATTTATAATATTAATAAAATGACCCCATAGATTTTTTTAAATAACTCTTGTATTCCTTCAATAGAGATGTTTTCTTTTTCTAAGCTATACATGCAGATTGTTCAAATGTATTAAAACCATGGTGTTGCTCTTCGATTTGATTATTTACTGGGATGAATATAATTTAAAATTTTGATTTGCATTTTCTTCTTTTTGTTTGTGGGCTTGTTTAGTTGGAGTCATGTCCCGTATCATGTGACTTAAGTGGAGACCTCCTGTCCTGATACTAAATTCAGTCAGTGTTAATGGTACTCTCACCTGTCCTTTTTACCCTAAACCCAAAGAGTGTAGAAGCCATTAACCCTAACAATTATATATTAAATTCTCAGACGATTCTGCAGACTTAGCTTTAATAAAAAAGGCCAACGAGCTTTCTGACTACTATTCAGAGAATGTATTTACATATACATTTAAAAACGTATTTATTCCAGTGTCTATTAAACTTTTAAACAGCAGCAGATAAGGAAAGCTTTTGTTGAAAGTATTTTAGCAGATCTTTGCTATTATTGAGGTGTCTCTGTTTGCATACGGGTGCTTTTAGGAGCCTTGCTGTAGGTTTAGGATTTATGCACCTTTTTATATGTTGAATGTTTGATCTGTTTTTACGGCTGCAGCATCGGTAAAAGCCCGAGCCAGATTTTCTACTTTGTGGGACAATAAAGTTAATCTTGATTTTTGAGATTAGAACAACATTAACAACACAACAATAAGTCAGCAGTGAACTCACAGCACCGAAGGCGACAGACAGCATTGTCTGCATCCTGCCGTCCTCCACCGTTCCTACCACGCCCTTCTTGTACATCAGAGCACCTCCGGCTAGAGTCCAGAACTTCACATGTTTGATTCCTACCGACACGAACTGGGTGTCCGAGTCTGGACGAAACTCCACTACGAAGATCCGGTCCGGGTGTCCAGCTTTACTGCACACCTTGGATCCTGACACAAGACACAACTTTTATTTTTACTCAATTTTCTTTCCGTATTAATCTGTATTAATGTGCGTGTGTTTTAGTGGTTATTGATCAGATGTCAGTCTGACCTTCTTGCCAGCGCCACACAGTGATGGTGTGTTCAGGTTCCACTCCGACAGACAGCAGCAGCTTCCCTGTGGCGCTGAAGTTAACGTAGCCGACGCCTTTGGTGTGAGGACAGCGAAGGATGGACAGCGTCTGTTTACTCATCGCATCCCACACATGGATCGAGGGAGTGGTGCCTGCAGAAAGATTATGAAACAGGAGGAGAGAGGATATAAACTGAGGTTTTATTATGTCACAAGGATGACAGGAAGTCACAAAAACGGAGCAGTTAGAGGGATCAATGCAGCCCACAAACACCCTGAGAACCAGATCAACGTCAGCACAAAGTACTGAAGCGCTAGAGTTTAGAGTTGGCTGTCAGAAAATGAAAATAAGAAGACAGACAATAGGTCATGTGAATTTGGAGGCTTCTTGCATTACTACAAAATATTGAAGAATTTATAATTGTAATTTATATGATCGTAAACTTCCCCTATAGATAATTGTATTAAATGCACAGTGAGCAGGTTATTACTGTAAATTTCTACATTCCATTGGTAAGTTTTCTGTGTGGAGTCTCCAATGTAGATTTTCCCACAAGCACTTGAATGCACAATCCCGGTTCTCAGCTGTCTTACAACAAGAAAACAACACAGTTTTGATAAAAGTATAAATGAGAATGATGATAGTGTTTCATTGTCTTCGCGTGGAAGAAATTAATTCATTCTAAAAGTTGATGGAGCCACATTTTCTGATATATGCTAAGGAGACAGCTGGATATAGGAATACAACCAAATGCATTGCTTAATGTTTTTGACACAAAGACAGTACTCCTGAGTTACTGCTGAAAGTCATAATGGACTAATTTTGCAGGCTGTCTCTGGGTTTCAGGGTGTTGTTGTGGTGGGAAAGGCGGTGCGGTTTGGTTATTACCTGGGAGTTCACTGACGTCACCTGTGGTGTTGTGAGAGCGATGGTGACAAATGAGGCCAGCCAAAACACACACAGAAAAACAAAACAAACAAATAAAAAAAACAGATAAAAACCTCTAGTGAGTTGTTTCAAACAGTCTAACGTCAGTTTTGACAGTAGAGAGATGTTTATAGTGGACTTGCTGGTAAAATCAGGCTACAAGTGAAGTGGTGAGGCTTAAACCCGCTGTAACAGATTTTTCTGGCCACTTGGGGGCAGCAGGGACAAGTTGTGAACAGTTTTCCTCTGAAAACAGCAGCCTGCTGAAAACGCCACCTTTAGATTGATTGTACCCTCCCTCCAGTATCTCAAAACAATTTTTTGATTGTTAATGTACATTCAAAACAAAATGGTGAAATCCAGTAAGTTTCAAGAGCTGCTAAATAAACACTTATCACTGCCACCAAAAGAGTGAACCAGGAACAGGATGCTGAAAAAAAGCCCTAATTATTACCTATGGGCTCATAAATGTTGCTAAATACATTTACTCAATTAATGTACTTAAAATGCGAGTTACTTTACCATGAGTATTTTCTTTTCATGCCATGTTCTGCTTTACTCCCCTACATCTCAGAGGGAAATATTGTACTTTTTACTTTGCTTCATCAATCTGACAGCTTTAGTTACTTTACAAACGAAGATTTTTACAAAAATATGATTTTTTTGTTATTAAACTTCCCAATTGTTTCTACACGTCTAGCTAAAAACGATTACAAAATTAGTTGATTGACAGGAGATTAATTGCAACTCTTTTGATGGTTGAAATAATTTCGAACATTAGATGGATTTAGCTTCTCACGTGAAGATTTGCTGCTTTTCCTTTGAATGATGTGAGTAACTGTAATGTAATTTTTACAAACCAAACAACCAATCTATTAATGGAGAAAATAATCAGCAGCTTAATCCATAATAGAAATAATCAATAGTTGCAGTCCGATACCAAGTATTTCAAAATGAGTTCCAGCTCAACAGCAGTAAAATCCTTCTTTACATTAATGCATAAGGAATAATTAACTCATGATATATACAAATATATACATTTTAGTGCTTTGAGTACATTTTCCTGTTCATACTGACATACTTAAGTAACATTTTCAATACAGGTCTTTTTCTTGTGTGTTTTAGTGAGTATATTTACTTAAATAAATATCACTGTTGATTTTTTATACAATAAGTCTCACATGAGAAGGATGAAATTAAATATAAATCTAGATGACGTGGAAAAGTCAACTAAAGTCAGCTAAAAATTCACAAAGCATGTTTTTTCTTCTAAACATGGCCTGTACATCTGCTGATTGTGGTGTTTACTTGGACAAAGCTTCCTCCTTGTTTGTGTTAGCAGTCTGTTTCTATTAGCTCAGTGGAAAAAAAGTAAAGCAAGCTGGTTAAACATGAAGCAGAGGAGAGAAAAGCAGGACTTATTTAGTAAAGACGAGTTAGTAAGGAAACACACTGCCATGCAGAAACAAAGTCTCACTCATACACACACAGCACACACGCTCAGTGTACCGATCTGTCCAGAGGCGATGATATTTTTGTATTTCGGGTGCTGGTTGGCGGTCAGAGAGAGGATGTCATCAGTGTGCTCCAGGTAGAAACTCTGAGTTCCTGCAGCACAAGAAGACACATGAACACTAAAAGGGCAAAGGTTTGATTCCCACTGCAGCAACTGTGTCTGTTTTTTTGAAATTCTTAGTTCTCAGTTCTCCTTCTCTTAAATAGGATCACATATTCACCTCATTTTTCCCAGCAACGTACAACAACATGCGATATCTTGACTTCTTGTCATGTTTTGTAGGTTGACCTGTGTTGCTTGTGACCACAGTGTCAGCAGTTTAGCAAATATCTCACAACTTTTACAGTAAAAGGTACAGGTTGTACTGCACCTCTGTAGCTTCTGCTAATTATCCCAGTTATCCTTCACAGCGGCTGATCAGCTACTAATGTTATGATAATAATATACATTTTATGTAGTTCCACTATTAAACAATGCAAGATTGTATATGGACGTTTTTGGGAAATAAACAACTGTCATTCCATAAAATGACTGCATGAGGTTTAAACAATTAGATATTAAACACCATCAGTACAAATTTCCATGACATCGATTTTATTTTGCAGGTAATTTAGACGATTATTGTGCATTAGATTAATTATAAAATATTTATGTTGTGTGAAAAGTGAAATCTGCTAATAAAGGAACATCAGATAATTTAGTTATAATTGGTGAAAGCTTTAGATGTTAACAACTTAAAGCTTCCCTGTGGGGTTTTCTTGCGTGTCGCTGTGATTACCGTTGCTGAGACTGTGCACGATGCAGGTGGCGGCAGTGTGGTAGACGATGTCGGTGCCATCGTTGAGGTAGTGCAGGTTGTTACGACAATCGAAGCCCCGAAAACCAAACACATGATCTAAAACCAGGTCCTACAGAGGAGGAGACAGCAGAGAGAGATAATATAAGGGGCCATACAAGCCATAATTCATCCTGCCCCCTCATATACTTACATTCTCCTTTCACATACATATATTTTTATTCTTACACCAACACATTTTATTCTCATATTTATATATTTTCACCCACACATTCATAAATTCTGTAGGCATGTAAGAAGAATGGATGGATGGATGTGTGAAACGGTGCAGTGGTTGGCTGAGAAGTTTGAGTCAGGTCCGAGGGGATGGTGCATGATTGACATCTGGATATAGAATGTCACTCTAAGTTCACACACATTCAGTTCATACACTGAATGTGTCTGACACAGGGTCAATCTTGCCCAAGGACACTTCGGCATGCAGCCTGGAGGAGCCGGGGATTGAACCGCCAACCTTTCAATTAACGGGCAATTAATCAATTAACCGCCCGTATTTTGCTTTTACTAAAGTCAAGGAAAAGAAAATGCGTACTATATAAATGTATTAATTTAACGGAAAATTCCACATTCATAAATGTTTTGTACCTTTCTATACAAAATATTATTTGTATACTGTTTTGAATACTTCTTTATGTCCCATATACACTTTATACCTCTTTTTGCAATAAAGATTTAAGGAGGAAAATGTTTGATGTGCAAAAAGGAGAATGTTTTTATGTGAAATGGCCATAATGAATTATGGCTTGTACGGCCCCTCATAAGATAAACAGGATGGCAGACAGACTGAGACACAGTCATACCTCGACCAGTCTCTTCTTCTTGGAGACGTTGTTCTTCTGAAGTTTCTCTGGCTGTGGCGCTGCTCGACTCACTGGAGGCCTGGAGGATCAATCAGTCTATTAATCAATTAATCACTGGAGGAGTCACATTATCTCACTGTGCTGATCTCGGGAGGACAGACAGCAGAGACAGACAGGTGGAGGAACGGTCAGAAAGACAGCATGGTCAGACACAAACAGTACTGACAGACAGGTAGGACAGACAAGAGACTGTAGAGACGGACAGGCCAGCCACATGTGTCTCAATCCCTAAAATACAGGTGCTAGGACTACTGAGTACACCTAATAAGTTGTAAGTACTAGTAGTAAAAACAAAATTAGCTGTAATACAAGTAATAATAGTTATAGTGATATGAGTCATTGTAACAGTAGCAGTTATAATAGTATAATAGTAGAAGTAACAACACGTTGACACTGTTATAGTGGTAGTTTTATAGTACTTAGCAGTAATGATAGTAGGAATAGTTGAAGTATTGGCAGTGGTACTAGTAATTAGAAACAACAAGAGTAGTAGCTTTACTAATACCAGTGGGAATACTAGCAGAAGTAATAGCTCTGGTAGTGGTGGTAGTAAGTGTAAAAGTATAGTAATGAGGAAAGCAGTAGCAACGGTTGTAATTATAATAGTAGTAGTGGTAATACAGTATTAGTGTAGTAGTAGTAGTCATAGTAGTAGTAAAACAAACAATAGTAATGCTAACACTCATAACAGTACTGACAGTTGTATTAGGTAAAGTAAGAGTAAATTGAGTACTAGCAGTAGAAGTAAGTAAGTAATAATAGATTATTGGCAATAGTAGAAAGGTTGTCAGGTTCATAGTAGTAGTAGTAGTTGTAGTGAACAACAGTGTGGATTTGTGCATTTTATATTGAATAAATGTGGAGCTACCCTAAATTCCTTTCTCCTCCCCAGAGAAGATGGGGAGGGGTCAAAGTTGCTTTCTCTAAGTGCTAGCCCGACCATAAAACTGGCACCATTTTGATTCCGAAGCTGATAACGCGGGGCCTGACTGTTAAACTGACAAAGGGACACGAGCCAGCCATTGGCATCTCCCTGAACAGCCTATCAAAACTTACCCCACCACACACGTTTCCGTGGAAACTGACCTTATTCTTTGTTTTATTACCACATCAAAAGGATACTCCTTGTCTCACCTAAGTGTGACATGTTCCAGACACTGAACTTTGGATGACCAAGGACTGCATTCTCCAAAAGACTCAACGCATCTAATTAAATTTAATTAAATCTTTAGTTACCTGAATATGTTTGCCTCTATTTGAGTAGTTATGTTAACTGTTTTTAGCTATCTGTTGTTGATATTAGTGCTGAAAAGAAGTTACTTGTGCAATGTTTTTATTTTCAGCAAGAGACTCCTTCATCTAATGTAATCAATGCTTGTTCATAATACTTTCCTACAAAATCCCTTTAGAAATGATGACAAAGAAATGTTTTACTATACTCTTAATCGCCAGCTTGAATTTAAGGATGAATCAACAATATTCCCCGGTTCCTAAGGAGAGACGATCTTTGATTTAATCCAAGCTTTCCTCATGTAACCTGAGCTCCCCCAAGTGGACGAAATAAGTATTACATGCCCTCGTCGGAAATGCGGTTAAATGTGTAAAAATACTGACCAATAATGTGACAATTGTTTCCTGTTACCAAATGCTTAGAACAGTACAACCGTTCAACCATTGAGGTTCGATTGTGGAAAATATTTGATTATAATACGTGCAAATAGATTTCTTTTCTTTAGACATTAAGTTTGGAAAGGCAGTCCCTTGGGAAACCTGAGACGCCCCCTGGGGAACCACGCCCCAGACAACAAAAGAGCGACACGCGACCTGCTCGCCAGTCTCTAGACTCTTCACTAGACGCTTCCCTCTTCTCGCTCTTCCACTCTGGCCCCTGGATGCTTCGGCACGCGCGTGGCGTGCCTCGCCAGACAACACGCCCAGACTCAGCCAGCGAAACAAACAGGCCTTTGTTCGCCTGAAGCTACACACCTGAAGTGCCGAGACATCGATCTGCCTTCAGTTTGTTTTATTTTCTTTATTTCTTTTGTTTGTTAAAGTTATGAGTTCCGTCAAGTTACACTGGACTAATTCAGGAACGACCAAGTTCCATTTTAAGCCTTTTTCGTCGAGCCAACTTCACCGAGGTCAGACCAAGCCACGTGGTCTCGCCAGCTACAACCAAGGAAACCTGCAAACAGCCGAATTGCCAGACGGAGGAGGCGTTTTCAATCAGACACGGAGAACCCCGAAGAATCCCTAGCAAAAAGCCAGGATCGGCAGCTAGCGTGGGACCCGTGCAACAGGCCAAAAGCAGGCTGTCGACAAGCAGTAAGACTTAACACACGTTCTGTGATCAGATGTCCATTTTAACTCCTAAAATCATAGCATTAGTTTACTTTCATTAGCTCTTCTATGCGTATGAGTCAAATACTTCCCACAATCGAACCTCCAGGCTCATTGTTCAGCAAATGTCTATGTTCCCTGTATCCAACCATCTTTTTATCACCTTAGTTAGAGAATAAATTCACTGTAATATAATCAAGAGCTGTGTGTGTTGCCTATTTATAGTTCCTGCCAAGAGAATTGACCCTTTAGATATGAGACTGACTGACTGATTTAAGATAATTGAGCGATTATTAACTAACTGATCACTAGTAATAATTGTATAATTATTCAAAACTACCTAGAGGTCCGGAGACTCTAGGATTATAACAACTCCGGTGGTGCCCTTTACGAGGAAATTCTGATTTTATGAATAATAATTCATAATTGGGTATCAATTCTCATAAATTTATTAAAATGCATAACTAATAAATTTAGGTCCACTACATAGTAGTAGTAGTAAGGTGGCAATCACAATAGTACTAGTGTGTTATGAAAGAAGTAATAGTGCGGGAAGTATTAGTAGCAGTACTAGTGTGGTAATAGTGTTATCAGTAATGGTAAGAACTGTAAGAAAAAAATATAATTAATAGTAGAAACAGTAGTAAAAGTAATCTTTATTAAAAGTATACTGTAATATAGTTGTAACATACAGTTGAAATACTGATCGCAGTAGTAGTAGTACTAGCAATAAAACAAATCGCAGCTTTAGTATGGTACTTCAAATAATAACAGTAGTAGTAGTAGCAGTGCACAATAATAGTATTATTAGTAGTCAAATTAGTAGTTAGACATATAGTAACAGTAGTGTTGTAATATTAACAAATGCAAATAGTAGTTATAGTATTAATATATAGTATTAGTAAGACTTAGTACTTTTACAGTAACAAAAATAACATAAAAACAAGGGTGTGACTTTAAAAACTGTTATTACTATGCAAAAACTACAAACTATAACTGTAACCAACATTATAACCATTTAAAATAAAAACCCTTTAATGATAAAATCCAGATTAATACCCTCAGATGTAAATTATAATATAAATCTAGAAAACAAACCAAAGACGGTGTGAGGCACCCACACACAAACACACATGTGGTCACCTAGTATGTATACTAAGGTGACCAGATTTCTGAAATGAAAACCGGCAACATTTTTGGTTTGGTGGTATGTCATTAAAAAATATAATGTTATTATATATGAAAAGGGGGGATAATTTAGGTTTTATAATCTGTCAAATAAAGCTCTTCTGAATAAAATCAAGTCATTTTGAAACAGAAACTACCTTTCAGTCAATATGTAGAGGCTACAATAGCTTTCTGGCAAGTAGAATACTGCATTTTATGTGTTGTTTTGGCCATTTAAAGATATTTTAAGAGGTAAAAAGTAGTTGAGTTATAACCTGTCAAAAATAACTTCTGGATGAAATCAATTAAAGGTATTTCAACAGGTAAAAAGGACTGGATTGGTTGGTACACAACAAGTTAATTGATGATAAGGATAATTGCAAGAGATCATGTCTTTATTTGACATATAACTCAGCAGTAAGTCATGTTAATTATAGGCTACAGTCTGTTTTCCAAATATAAGCAAGGATATTAGACAAATATGCCTACCAAAAACATAATCCATTGGCAACAACAGGCTTTTATTATTGCCTATAATCACGTAAATGCCTGGTTACGCTATAAACTACAAACACTTATTTGGCCACAATTGTGATTATTCCATTAAAAGAAACGGCAAAGTTTCACAAAGACATATCTTTGCTGTTACCACCGACATAAAGTGATGTTTATTTGCACGTTATGTCTGTTTGAACCAGATAAAAGCAGCTGCAGAAACTGCTAAAGAAACTGGGCGACACAGCTTTAACATGCTGCGCGCGCTCCCGCGGACGCTATCCAGTCTTTCTGGCCACATGAAATCTGATTTCAGGTCTGTTAACACTTTCTATAGTCTATGGTTAATACACAGTAAAAAACGGGGACATTTCCAATGACAGCTCCAGACACGGGGACAGGCCACCAAACGTCGGGGCGTCTGGTCACCCTAACACACACACACACACACACATAATGAAGAGGCACAGCTTTGACAAACACTAACAGACAGACAGGTGAACAGACAGGTGGGTAGGTGTTACCTGGATCCCCTGGACAGCAGAGGGACAGAACCAAGGTACAGATCTTTAGAAAACACACACACTCACTCACATGTAGGACACACACACACACACACACACACACACACACACACACACACACACACAAGCCCCTCTACGCATACGAACACAGCAACACACTCACACACACGAATAAAGGCCTCATGCCTCAGAAGAACCATAATCTGATTTGCTCTGGCTATATTTACATGCTAACAAAATGCTCGCATGCTACCAGTGCTTGTTTGTATTTTCGGGCTGTCAGGCTAACATGCTTGCAGAGCTAATTGTGTTAATGGGCTAACATGCAAGTTTAGGCTGGAGGACAAACTCAGGCGAGATGAGCACACGTTGTTCACTGCATGTCTTTGTACCTGCTGCAGGGAACTTTTATCAGCTAATTTCTGACAGTGTGGCCCCACGTTTAGACAACCACATCATGTTTTTAGAACTGCAGTTCCCATAATGCTTTGAA